CATTTTTACTTCCAGTCAGCATCAGTTTTGTTTTCTTAACATTCAAGGTCAGCTTGTTGTCATGGTACCAGCTGCAAATTTGCGTAAAACCAAGACTGAAGGACTCTTTGAGTTCAGCTGCAGTTGATCCCGCAAAAAGTAATACAGCATCATCTGCTTAGAGAATCATCCTAGCATCTGAAATAGCATTAGGTAAACTGTTAATGTAAAACTTAGATTTGGATTTTTGGCTGGTCCCTTTCCATTCTGACCATAACTGGAAATGGATTTAACATTTTCCTTGTTTGTAGAAGAAGGCGGCTTCAAACCAAAACCAACGCGTTTGTCGCTTCACTTGCCGTGGCAGATGTTTGTGTACTGTTCCTCCCCTTTTCGTTAGAGAGAAGACAACTGGATGCGATCCTGAAGTTCCTTTTGCTTATAGGGTGGATTATTTAAGGGGCTGTTCATGTAAATTTGCAAATTTGTAAATTTGTGCAGTTCAGTCCTGGATCGCTACTTTCCTGTTGTGCAACCTCTCAATTACCTATTATTTATTACGCGCGAACGTGTCCCCCAGATTATTTTTCTTTCTTGGGCCCTTTCAGTTCTTGTTGTTTGTCCCGATGTTGTAATATGGCTCGCTTTTAACGACAATCGTTCTAGATCTCTTCTGCTGTGAAAGTGATGGAAATTGTTATAGGCCTATTCCTTGTTTGTTCTGCATGCTCTCTGCGATGTAGTCTTATATACATTATGAAAGAAGAACAACCATGTAAAGATAAACAACTTAAATTGCCTCTGCTAGTTTTAAACTTTGCCTGTCAAAAACCCCGTCGCTTACCGGCTCTGTTCAAGAGGGACATTAATTAAGAAGCAAAACGGCGCATTTGCTGATCTGGAAGATGAGAAACAACATTGAGCCTCTTAATGATTCACGATTTTTTTCTAAATAGATACATTCCCGATTGTATACATTAATGTCGACAACATTTTTTTTATTTTGATCGATCATAGTTAACATGAGACAGGCATTAACAATTGTGTAAATTAACGTTTATTAATTCAACTGTGTTGTGAAAGCTTACTTTACTATGCTGTTTAAATTTTCTCAGAAAATAAGCTTGAGAAACTGAGCAGTTAAAGCAATCAGCTCCTTATTTCTCTGTTTTGAGTTGAAGGAAATTAAATTCAACAGAGCGCAAAAAAGGTTTGCATTAAACTGCACATGTTTTGAAAATTGTAAGAAATAAATTTTATTTAGTATCACCGAAAAAAAAAAACGCGCTTTAAAGTGATCCGTAATTCAGAGTAAAAATGTATATGATGCAAAACAGACATATTAATATTCTTCCGAGTTAAATTGCAAATGAGTGTTAGTTTTGATGACAGATGAGACGAGCTGGTTTATTTGTAAGAAACAGTTCTAACCTGGCATACATGAAAACTTTGAATTTGCTGCATTTAACCCTCATAATATTAAGACTGACTAGCGTCAAATTGTTCCTTACGGTTTTACCGCTGAGTCAAAATAAGTTGAGAATCAGAAGGGAATGAACCAAAGGAGCCCTTGATTGATACACAAATTCTCCTTCTTTTTACAATAGCAAATTATAGAGAAGAGTATGGAGAATGCTCATAGTTAGAATGCTAATTTTTCAAGACCTGACAGTGTCCTCAAGCTGTGAGAGACAGGTTGTCAAATTCTCTATCTAGCTATTCCTTTTGTTCATCAATTATATCATATTGTCGCAAACTTTGGTAATTTGCGCGTTTTTAACCAGTGATGTACTGACGAATGTTTTCCTCCAGCTGGCCTCTCTTACAGTCAGTTTCCCTCCTTTATTTCAATTCTTACCAATGAAGGAATGGAGGTTGTTGACCTAACAGAAAGAGAGGCAAGAATTCATGCTGATTAATTAATTGTGATGTGTTTTTAGCGGAACTTGACACAAGGAAAAATCACCAGGTGNCCTATTCCTTGTTTGTTCTGCATGCTCTCTGTGATGTAGTCTTATATACATTATGAAAGAAGAACAACCATGTAAAGATAAACAACTTAAATTGGCTCTGCTAGTTTTAAACTCTACCTATCATAAACCCCGTCGCTTACCGGCTCTGTTCAAGAGGGACATAAATGAAGAAGCAAAACGGCGCATTTGCTGATCTGGAAGATGAGAAACAACATTGAGCCTCTTAATTAATGATTCACGATTTTTTTCTAAATAGATACATTCCCTATTGTATACATTAATGTCGACAACAAGTAAACAAGTCATTGGGATCGATCGATCGATCGATCGATCGATCGATCCTAACGTCAGACACGCAGTCCCCTTGGGTTAAAATCATGTTGTCAAATAACATACAACTAAAAGTCGTCTAAATGTGGACGGAAATGTTTTTGGAGAAGCTCAAAATGAATTGCTAGCTTTATTCAAATAGAGTACGAGTAGAAATATTGCTGAGCTAAATTGCAAATGAAGGAGTTCGAGCGTTGAGGCTAGTTAAGATCAGGTGGTTTAAAAAAAAAGGAAACATTTCAAAAATTCTTTAGTGTTGGGAAAGCCAATTTTAATAAAGCTGTGTTTGAATGTTCTTAAGAAACATGCCTGAGAGAGAAATTAATAGTAAACATCAAAAAATGTTTTCCAGAAAAATAAACTATGCTAAAACTAGCTTCCGAGCTGGCCCTTAATTTGAATTATAACATAGCGTGCGTGCTAGTCCTATATACTGAATTGCTATTGCGTCATTATGAACAAAATCTTTATGTACGCACGGCCGTGCTGACTGAAATGACGCGTGCAGTTTCAAACATCTACATCTACATCTATTTTAATACTCTTCAACGCTATTACACATCAAGAAGAATAAATAGCTGCAAAATTTCCGTCGTGTGAGTTTCTTGAAGTTTCGGAAAGCGATATCAGTAAATGGAAGACCAACCAAACTTTTCTTTGGCTTTCGACCTTCCCGCAAGTAGTCAAGCTAACAAGCACAACGAAAACGAAACACAACAGACCCGTTTCTCGAATTTATCGGAACAGGAGCTGGAGAAAATTTTAGCTGAAAGACATTCAGCAAGGACTAAGAAGACTACAAATTGGTCTGTGACGACTTTTAAAGGTAAACGTCTGTGTTGATGACGTTTTTTTTGGTTACCTTTGTTAACTCTACCGAAAACCATTTAATTACAAAATCAAAAAAACAATCGGAGACGCTAAAATTTTCGGGCAACTTTCATTTCAAAAAACATCACAAAAACGTCATTCATCGCCCAAACTGTTTCGGTATGTTATAAAAGAATTTTTTCGTGCTTTTAGCTGTGCGTATATCGAGTTATGGATGCACTTGGGAAGTTTGGAGAGCACTCAAGGAGCTAGAGTTGCTCTCGGCTACGCCTCGAGCAACTCTTTACGCGTCTCTCGTGTTCTCCAAACTCCTCGCGTGCATTCATAACTCGATATACGCACGCTAAGCATGAAACAATTCTTAATTATATTATAACCGTTGTCAACATTATTATCATCTTTGTTATTATAATTTGTTATCATTTGATTATAAGTTGAATGTTACGTTGAATTAGACAATATATTTTGCTNATGTGCACAATCCAATTTCTTCGAGATAATCGTTATTGATTGAAGCTATACTGTTGTGCTGTGTAGGCTGCGCATTCCATCTTCATGAAGTTTAATTGAGACTTGACTTTTAATAGACACGTTTCCTTCAGGAAAGCAGCTACCAGACTTAGGTTGTAATAGCACTTCAGTTTTCTTTATGGAGATCGAAAGGCCATATCTCTTTGTGGCATTACTAAGGCAGTCAACAAGAACTTGGACATCTTCTTTGGTGTGAGCAACAAGAGCGCAGTCATCAGCGTAGAGTAGCTCTCTGTCCAGTATATTGGTCTTTGCCTTAAATCGTCGAAGGTTGAATATTCCTCCATCGTACCGCACATTGAAATTTATGCCTTTCTCGCAATTATAAAAGGCATCATAGATCACAGCGGCCATAACAATGCTGAACAGCAGTGGTGCAAAAACACAACCTTGCTTGACACCATTATCTACGTCAAAGGGAGCAGATTCCAGCCCACCGTCCACAACACGTGCTTGCATGCCATCATGAAAAGATCAAATGATGTTTATCACCTTTTCTGGGAAACCAACTCTGTGGAGGAGCATCCAAAGTCCTGTACGAGACACCGAGTCAAAGGCCTTTGTTAGATCCACAAAGACTATATAGAGGTCACGCTGGTGTTCTCCGCATTTTTCTTGCACTTGACGCGCGGCAAAAAGCATGTCCACTGTACTGCGGTTCTCCCTATATCCGCATTGGCTTTCAGGGTTCACCTCCTCCGCCAAAGCAGTTGCCCTTCTCCCTATTATACGTGCTAAGGTTTTTTCAGCAATATACAACAGCGAGATGCGACGATGATTGTTGCAGTCCGCTCGTTGGCCCTGTAAGGTTTATAATTTATGCAAATCAAACAGATTAGTACTTTTTTCGAGCGAAATGCAAATGAGATCTAGTTTTGCCGGATGTCCAGTTGAGATCAGCTGGTTTTCTAGACGACACTTCCTGATTCTCTGGCAAACGAGGAACTTTTGAATTTACTGTGCTCAACTATAAACCGTAAGACCGACCGACTAGCATATTGTAATTTCTCCTTACGGTATCACAATCAAAGTCATGAGAATCATGAAGGAAACGAACGTTAACCAAAGAAGCTCTTAATTGATAAACTAAGTCTACTTGTCATTTAAATAGAACAGCAAAGAGAATATTCATAGCAGTGCGTAGAATATTAACCCCTGATACCAAACAAGATCGAGGGTGAGAGTTTATTTGTTAAATGTATACCTTTATGATTTAAACCGACAAAATGCAACAAGAAGGTAAACGTTTTCTGTTGGACATGTAATTTTAATTGAACAGGCAGACAGCAGCTGCTATGAACACCCCCGCAACTAGAATGCGAATGTTCAAAAATGACAAAAGGAAAAAAGAACTGCAATTTGAGCCATGAAATTCTGCATCTTCAGTGATTCTTCTGTTTCTCATTTCTCCTCTTTTTACATTTAAAAACAAGTTTTCACGCACGTGGTGACCCCGTTGATAACAGTACTTTTTACTGAAGGGTTTTCCTGGGTAAAAATTCGATTATAATTATTATTATTACTATTATTATTATTTTTATTATGACATGATGAGAAGTTCGTCTCATATCAGATAATAAGATCTAATAAATTTGCATAAGCTTTCTTGTCACATGACCCGGCCGGCCTATAGTAAAAGTGGGTGCGCCATCGGTTTTCAAATGCAATTTAACTCGGAATTCACGATTCAGGTAAAAGATTCTCCTTGAATCGCATAGTCGAATACAAATAAAAAAGAAAACAGCAATAAAATTGTTTGGTTTTATCCGAAATGTGCACTCCAGTTCAGTTAAAAACAAGGAAGAACCTCAGGCTCACTTTGAAAAACGCTTTTGTTTGTTTTTGGCTTCTTCAAAGGTGGCAATGGTTTTGAAACAATTTAAAAGGACATCTTAAAAAAATGTCTCCTGTTGTGGTGTTATAATTTGACAATAGTTTTTATGAATATGAGGACGCGAAACATTATTACTTGGCCTCGTTTTCAACTCGCAATTCTACGCGAAATACCTCGCTTCGTTAATCAATCAGAATGCGAGATTTTATTCAATTATGCGATTCTATCTGACACACCAATAGGAGTGCTGACAATGTCCTGGAGCTGTCAGAGAAAGATCATCAAACCCCTTAGTTAGCTATCTTTAGAAATTAATTTCTTGCTAGTCATCAAAATTTATCATGTCACCGCCAGGACATTATTATTTGTGCACTTTTCATCGATTAAAAATCAAATGCTCGCAAAAACGTCTCCTTGCAGCGTTTCTCTCATGTAAATAGTATACCATTAACTTACCAAAGTAGGAATGGAGGCAGTTTGCGCAACAATAATGGTTCCGAGGCCTCTTAGATAATAACTGATGCGATGATGTTGATTAGTATTCAAATTCATGGTTAGCGTTATGAAGATGTTGTATTAATAATATAGAGCCATCCTTTCTTAGTAACAACAGATATGCTTATACAATAATGCCATTTCTTTTACTGCACCGTTATAAAAATTCTGTTCTAATATGAGACTGAATTTGTTCAAAAATTGCTATTGACATACCCTGGCTGAACTAGCATGGAAGAAGTTATAAACCGTTTCTTAACAGCTGTAATACAAAACTAAACTTTATTCGAGGATCTACCTCTCCCAATGCTGTTTTCACGCGCATGCAGCTGTATTCAAATTCGTCTCGCTTTCGACGAGTCGACGAATTCGTCTTAACAGGAACGACGATCGATCCTTGGGGAAAAAATATGTGTTCAAGAAAGACAGTTACTTCTCCCCTGATTAGTTAATAACTCCATAAGCTAAAATTAGGCATAAAAAAAAAACAAACAAACAAATAAAAAACACGACAATCGACGTCATCAAACTTAGAAATGTAAATGTTATTGGTACATTCCTTCTAACTCACTCATTCGCCTTGCGATGCAGCTTTATATTCATTTTGAAAGACGAAAAACCGTGTGATGATAAAGAATATAAAGTTCCCCTTCTTAAATTAAACTCAGCCATCAACCCCGTCGTCTACGCCGTCTTCAAGAGAGATAAATATGGAGATAACAAGGCATATTGACTGTGTCACGTGGAAAAAAAGGAACCAAATTGAGCCGATCATGAATGAAAACAATTCTTTTATCCTACGCAGCCATAATGCCTAACGCGTCAATCCATTAAAGCATAACAGCTTATATGAAAATAAACCAGAATCTTTCTTCAGCTATAATTATTTTTTTCCACAATTCGACAATCAATTGTAAGGGCTGGAAAAATAATTGCATTTTGAGGCAGAAAAACGTTAAATGTTGAAGAACATAATATTGCTCTCCTTCAACGGTTTTAACTGAACTCTGCTATCACAGTGACTCCACTGTTTATGCCGTCTTCAAGCGGGGTATCAAGAAGGACAAAAAGTTTTTTTCACATCATTTGGTTAAAGTGAAACAATTTTTTCAGCTAATCCAAGAACTCTAAAACATTTGTTTTTTAAGTTTGCATCAGTTGTTACTCGACTTAGACGTCGTCAAGTATAAATAGAAGTAAAATTATATTCCAGGATCACCTCGAGGTGTTTGTTTTCTAAACAACTTCGCTTTAAAAACGAGTAGACTGCTTTTTTTAGAGATCCGCTTTTCACGCGTATGATGCAAATCAGGCAGATAAGTACTATTCCTAATTAAATTACAAATGAGTTTTCGATTTTATGCCAATTTAGATCAGCTGGTTTACTGTAAGAAACGGTTCTAACCTGGCAAACAAGCAACTTTTGAATTTCCTGGGTTCAAGCCCCAAACCCTGGCTACGGCCACATTGTTCATTACGCTAACACCGCTGAGTCAAAGTAAGATCTTGAGAATCTCATAGCACGATCCAAAAATGTTGCAAGATGTTGCGTTGAACTGTTCTGTGCATTTCACCGGGTTAATTGCTTTGCTGATTTGAAGCTGTTCTGAGAGAAGCTGTTTCAAATTATATTTGAAATTTAGCCTTACACCCATAGTTTCACTGTTTTTGCCATTCACCGAATAGTTGATAGTGCATTCATTCTTGCACCTTTGAAATTTCTCACAAGTGGAGGAAACAAGTGTAGCTGAAAAAATTGTTTCACTTTATCCAAATTATGTGAAAAAAACTTTTTGTCCTTCTTGATACCCCGCTTGAAGAAGGCATAACCGCCGCCCGGTTAGCTCAATGGATAGAGAGCTGGACTGTAGTGCGGGAGGTCGAGGGTTCGAGCCCCGGCCGGACCAACACTCAAGGTCTTAAAATAATTGAGAAGAATTTGCTACCTTTCTATAACATCAAGAAATGGTTAGATATTCTAGTCTTCTCGGATAGGGACGAATAAATGGAGGTCCCGTCTCCTGCAGGGTTGGGGCAGGAGACGTTAATTTCCCACACACGAGATTACTGTGTGATGGATGTCCTCCCCTGGGGTGGGATGGGTGGGTTAGGACAGCAGGTCCACATCAGCTATTACAGCGGCCAATTAATCAACCTGCTTAAACAAATAAATGAACTTGAATGAACTTGAACTTGTGAAAAGAGTAGAGCTCATAAACGAGTAAAGCTCATAAATGAGCCAGTGGAGCTCATAAATGATTATTAGTCGTAATTGGCATCAATAAATTATTTCAAAGGTATGGTTTTAGCCGGAAGGGAAAAAGCAAGAACAGCGGGGGTTGAAAAAATGCTAAGTTTATTGCACGTCCACCTACTAGTTTTCATCCGAGTTAAGTCAATCAGTTAGTCATCAATCAATCAAATTCTTTTTTTAGACGATAATTGTTAAAGCTGTAAAGGTTGTAGGTTCGTTTAGTGTTACTTCAATCTCTTTCTCGTACGTTTCTTGACAGTTTATCTATGTACAATCACCTTTCGTTTACAAAATGGAAACTTGGTTTTGGATTTTTGGCTGGTCTCTTTCCCTTCTGACCATAACTGGAAATGGATTTATCATTTTCCTTGTTTGTAGAAGACGGCGGCTTCAAACCAAAACCAACGCGTTTGTCGTTTCACTTGCTGTGGCAGATGTTTGTGTTGGGCTGAGTACTGTTCCCCCACTTTTCGTTTGCGAGAAGACAACTGGTTGCGATCCTGAAGTTCCTTTTGCTAACAGGGTGGATTATTTAAGGTGGCTATTCATGTACGCGTCTGTGACAAATTTGTGCAGTTTAGTCCTGGATCGCTACTTTGCTGTCGTGCAACCTCTCAAATACTTATTGTTTATGACGCGCAAACGTGTTTCTCAGATTATTTTTCTTTCTTGGGCCCTTTCAATTCTTCTTGTTAGTCCCGATGTTCTAATATGGCTCGCTCTAAACGACAATCGTTCTCTTTTCTTAATTTTTTCTTGGATAATCATGACTTTCGTCGAGTTCCTGCCGAGCTGTGGTCTTATCTTTTGTTTTGGTTCAATGGTACAGGTTGTTTATAAACACGAACGAGCCGCCCGCATCTTAGCGAAACAGCTTCACTTTAATCATCGATATTTGTTCAAAAACGCGGAGAAGTCTGCTGTGAAAGTGATGGGAATTGTTATAGGCCTATTCCTTGTTTGTTCTGCATGCTCTCTGCGATGTAGTCTTATATACATTATGAAAGAAGAACGACCATGTAAAGATAAAAAATTTAAATTGCCTCTGCTAATTTTAAACTCTGCCATAAACCCTGTCGCTTACGCTCTTTTCAAGAGGGATATAAAGGAAGAAGCAAAACGGCGCACTTGCTGTGTGATCTGGAAGAAGAGAAACAACATTGAGCCTCTTAATGACTTACAATTTTTTTCTAAATAGATAACTCGTTCTATGGCACAAAACGTAAGACGTAGGACAAACATTCCCTATTGTATATATTAACGTCGAAAAATAGTAAACGAGTTGCCTAATTTTAGAACTAAAATTTATCGACTGAAACTCGAAGTGAACTGTTTCTACCTGTACTGTATTAAATGAGAACAAAAAATTGCTCTTTGACAGTTACTTCTCCTTGGTGTTTTTAATACTTTCACAGGCTAAATAACGGTATCGATCAAAGGACCCGACAAGAAACGTCATCCTTCTTATTTGCACCAAACGACGACAGCGATCCAAAACCAAAGTGTTTCTCGTTTTACTTGCTGTGGCGGATTTCTTTGTTGGGCTAAGCGCTTTTCCCCCCACCTTTCGTCTGCGCGTAAAGAATTGGATATGGCCCTAAGGTCTTCTTGACTGGCTTGCCAAAGAGTGGTTCTGCTGTTTAAAGTGCTCGATTTTTGTTTCAAGCGAGAAGCTTTTTTCTAAATAGATAACATTTTATTTTGAATGATCATAATCAACGTGAGACAAGCACTAACGATTGTATAAATTAATGTTTACAAGCAGGAAATAAGTTGACTAAAATTATTTGTTTGGGGAAGTGTTCTTACTCATGCCATATTTAAATAACGTTAGACTCCTGATCTAATTTGCGAATAAAGGAGTTCTAGAGTCGATGGTGATCGAGATCAGATTGTTTTGAAATATTATATGGATTCGATTGTGTTGAAAAAACTTACTTTACTATTTTCTTAGAAAATAAGCCTAAGGAACTTAGTTGTTAAAGCAATCAGCTCGTTATCTTTTTTGTTTGAGTGGAGCTAGTTAAATTCAACAGAGCGCATAAAAGGTTTGCATTAAACTGGAAATGTTTGGACGAATTAGTGTAAACATTGACAAAAATGCGTTTTAAGAGATCCACTTTTCAGAGTAAATCTACATAAGATAAAGTCAGGCAGATTAGTACTCGTCCCAGTAAATTGCAAATGAGTTTAAGTTTTGATGTCAGTTGAGATCAGCTCCTTTATTATAAGAAACAGCTCTACCCTGGCAAGCAAGCAACTTCTCAATTTGTCTTAAGACTGACTAGCGTCAACCAAAGAAGCCCCTGATTGATAAACAAATTCCCCTTCCCATAAGCACAGAAAATGTATACAGAAGACTATGGAGAATTCTTATATTAATGTTAGGGTTTAGAGAGTTTATTAAGACCTGACAATGTCCTCGAGCTGTTGGAGACAGGTTGTTAAAATCCTTATCTAGCTATTCCTTTTAGTTCATCAAAATATATTATGCTAACGCAAACGTGGTAATTTGTGCGATTTTTTGTTAGAAAGTACAGAAGCACTGACGAATGTTTCCCCCGAATCGAACGTGCCTCTCTAACAATCAGTTTCCTTTCTTTATTTCAACTCTTACCAATGAAGGAATGGAGGTTATTGACCTAACAGCAAGAGCGGCAAGAATTCATGCTGATTAATTAATTGTGACGTGTTTTAGGGAGAGTTTGCACCAGACAAATTCACCTGGTGCTTTCAAATTTCTTGTGAATTATGGTGTTACATTGGTTCCTCACCGGAAGATTATCTTCTCAGCTTTCATTTGTGTAGGGCCGGCCACTTGAATATCGAAATATGGAAACGTGGTTATGGATTCTTGGCTAGTCTCTTTCCATTCTGACTTATTATGGAAATTGATTTATCATCTTCCTTGTTTGCATAAGACGGCGGCTTCGAACAAAAACCAACGCATTTCTAGTTTCTCTTGCTGTGGCGGACTTTTGTACTGGGTTGACAACTTTCCCCCCACTTTTCGTCTGTGAGGCGATAACTGGATGCGATCCTAAGGCCTTCTTGGCAAGTAGGGTGGATTATTTAAGGTGGTTGTTTGCGTACGCGTCTGTAACAAGCTTGTGCAGTTTATTCACCCACACCCTTGGCCCAAATTCAAAGCAAAAGCGAAATTCTCGGTCTGGACAAGATACCAAAGAAAATTATTCAATTATTCAATTACGTCCGTGGACGGAGAACATGCAAGTTCGAGCATGAAGATTGCTCATTTGAATATCCGTTCGTTTAGTCTCCCTCGCAGCACGTCTCGTACCTCAGGGGTCAATCTTGGGTCCTGTGCTTTTTACTGTCTACATTAATGATGTAATCAGTGCTATTAGCCACAGTCAAGCCTCTGCGTATGTTGATGATTGTCAATTGCATTTTAAATTTCCCTTATCAGACTCATCAAGTGCTATAGTCGCCGTAAATCATGATCTTAGGAACATCAGTAGATGGTGTGCAGAGAATTCTTTACTCATAAATCCCGAGAAGACAAAATTGGTGGTTTTTGGCTCAGCACAACTTCTTAAGAGGCTACCTCATATCTCCTTAACTCTGCTGGGCAAGACTATCTCACCAGTTTCGTTTGCTAAGGATCTCGGGGTATATCTTGATCAATATCTTAACTATGATGTGCATATTACTAAAACAGCCTATAGTTGCATGAACTAGTTAGTACAGATAAGAAGAATTAAACACCTTTTAGATAAGAAAACACTTTTATTACTTATAAATAGCTTTGTTTTTAGTAAATTATTTTATTGTTCCTCAGTGTGGGGGAACACATCTAAGCGTAATCTACACAAACTACAGTTGGTACAAAATTTTGCTGCCAGAGTTGTATTAGGTTTAAGGAAATTTGACCATATCTCTCCGGGGCGGAGATCTCTTAGATGGTTAGATGTTACAGAAAAGGTTTTATTTAATGATTTAGTTTTAGCATATAAAGGTGTAAATGGTTTAGCTCCAGACTATTTACGTAAATATTTTGTTAAGCGTTCAGCAGTTCACAATAGGAACACAAGGGGATGTAATGATTTTGTGATCCCCCGATGTAGATTGTCGATGGGACAAAGGGCATTTTATTTTCGCGGCCCACGGGAATGGAATGGTCTACCTGACAACATTAGGAATACTAAAGATATTGATATTTTTAAGCGGAAACTTTTTAACAATATGTTCTATATGTAGTAAATTTGGATATACTTTGAATGATTTTAAATACATTTGATTTTAATTAAATTACAGTAAATAAGTTAGTTAACATTGTGACCGAAAAGCCCTGTTGAAGGGAGTCTCAATAAAGTATGTATGTATGTATGTATGTATGTATGTATGTATGTAATTTGTGGCGTTACGTCATGCACAATACAGAAATAATTATCGCAGGCGATTTCAATTGTGTTCCAGA